GTGCAGTACAAAAACCACATGTAAAGTTCGACTAATACATATGCATCTGACTGAAAAGAAAAAAAAACTGAAGGTTGAGCTTAATAAGATGGGTAAAATGATTGGGTTAATGGAAGATGAAAACAAAAGGTTGGAATGTGAGAACAAAATATTTAATGGTTTCAATCAAAATTTCATTGAAAATTAGGTTAAGGTGGTTATTACTACCGGAATCCTCTTGACAGTTGGTTTCTACATTAATTGAACTTTAAAAATGGATTTTGTGTTGTCACTCTATTTTACAGATGATTTTTTGAAAAATACCCAAAAGATAATGTAAGTATATGTTTTCGGATATGGATAGAGGTATAATATTCACCATATGCATTGGCTATATCATTGGTGCTCCTGAATGCAGCGACAACAATTATGCACATGATCATCAGGAACCAGTTGATGACAGGAATGTAGATCTGACCCATGAATCTCTTGGATGTATGTATTATCTTCACCCTCGGGAAGCAGCCAAGAGCCATTGACTGTTTTATGCAGGAAAATGTTGCTGAAATCATAGCCTGGCTGGCAATCATGGCAGCAAGTGGTGTGGCTACCACAAACATTGGCCAAAACAGAATATCTACATACCACGAGACGAATCAAGATTAACTACCTTGAAATAGATTCATTTAGAGTCTTATAATTTAAATGATAAGCGAATATAAAGTACTAGCAAAAAAAATTCTTCATTAAGAAGATATCCTATAGAACATATGCCAGTAGTAGTATCCTAAACAATACTCACCAGGGACGGAATCATAGAAAACTCTTTCTACTAAATCTGGATTTTTCATCAGAAATGCAGCCTGGCCGAGGTAAGCTAAAAGAAGACAGGGGAATACCACAAAAGTAAATGCAATCTGTCAACAAACAATGACTTCAGAAAACTATCTATACCGCCCATCATTGGAGAAGAAAATTATAAACAATCAGAACTATAAACATTAAATAAGAAGGAAGAGGAACAGAATCATTTTAAGAAACGACCTGAATAGATTTCACAGTGAAATGACCTAGATCAGCAAACATTGCTTCAGCTCCTGCAGTTATAAGAAATAATTACATGAAAAGCCATATTATGGTAATAAGTGTAGTTAGGAGCTATGTAAATTATAAAGGAAACCCTAGTGGAATGACGAGATAACGGGTTTGTACATAAAGGTATAATATATAAGTGTAAGTTATACTACACACAGAGTTGACACATTACCTATGGAAAAAATCGTGACCATTCATATAGGTGTAGATTCCTAAAAACCCAATAAATCAATCTGACCATATGGATGTATGGATTTCAATATCAAATTTGAATGTGTGAGCTTATAGGGCTGGATTTGGTTACAACCCTTCCCAAGTCCAAAACCCAATGATATTTTTAGTCCGAAAATAGTACTATGATATGTATACACAGCATAATTAATTCATTTTCTGAGTAAAAATTTTCTAGATTATGATAAAGAAAAAAAAAAGATAATATCATCTTATAATATAAATATAACAGTATATATTTGTGATATAACAGGAAGGTTTGTTTGAAGATGTTTAAATAAATCTGAACAAATATAGTGATTTCAAAAGGAACCATTGCAAAGAAATGAAAATTGGCATTTTGTAGTCAAAATGTAAATATACCTGTAATGCACAAAACACAACCACCAAGAGCTGACCAGGCATTCCGGCTGTTCCTTTGGAAGAAAAAATAGACATACATCGGGTTGAATGCTCTCAAGACACTAATATCATATTTAACTATGTTGTATATTCCAATCGCTCCCAGACTGAAGAACCAAGTAGCTAGAATAGGAGAAAACATGACACCAACTTTGCCAGTCCCAAACCTCTGTATGCTGAACAAGGCCACAAGAATTATGATGGAAACTACGACTACAGCATCTGCAAACAAAATATAATCAATTGCATCAAAATCTACGACTACAGCATCTGCAAACAAAATATAATCAATTGCATCAAAATCTAACAGGATGTGAATGGTTTCATGTTCAGTGACAGAGAAAGGTAGAATGTTTGAAAGGTGAAGTTCTGCAAATCAGGCACATAAAAGTTGATAAGAGCTGAACTAGAAACCTGTATCAAATCCGGGTATTCGGCCTTGAAGACCACTTACTGCTGACATTACTGCAAGAAGGAAATAATATCATGATGGACCAGCAAATACATAATCATAAGAGAATGTAACCAAAATCTGTATTAGAGGTTTGTTGAAAATTCCACCAAGTTACCTGACATAGATGGGGTAAGAATACCATCCCCAATGATCATGGAAGTACCCATAAGAACCAATAGCAAGAGAAGGGTCTTAACACTAGATCTCTTTTCCAAGCTCTCTTTTATTCTTAAGGCCCTCTCCAGTTCAGGAGTTGGCAACTTAAGCCGAAAACTGGAGATATCCTCATCAGCACGCTGCTGATTTGGAAGCCGGCTAACTTTTGCATATCTGCAAATTAATGAATATAATGCAAAGGTGCCCCCTGGAAGCAGTACAATATTTAATTAATTTCTATAACTAAAAACTTGGGAAGTACAAAACATAAACAAAAATGGTTCAACAATCTATTGATTATTTTAGAAAGCAATAGTCAAAAGACCTCAGCTATGTTTGAAGACGAACAAATAAACAAAATGGAGAAACACAATCTATTTAAAATCTTAGTTACATACCTTCACCATTATCATTAGCTTTCAGCACTATAAACACATACTTGGCAAAAGGAATGAGTGCAATTGTGTAAATAATTAATGATAAAGCTCCCAAAACATCAATGTCTGATTTTATATGAACCTTGCTGAAAACATCACTGAAGACATATAAAGGACTCGTGCCCATGTCACCATATACCACACCAAGAGTTTGAAATGCCATTGCAACTGTGTGCCAAACTGAAAGGTCCTGGGTTAAGTTAGAAACAAATAGTTAGTTCTGAGAAATTTACCTTCTGCTTTCAACATTTGAATGTGGATACAACAAATAGAAGAGATCTTATTTATGATGCCATGCCGGTAACCACTTCACTCAATAACTTAAGCTGATGGATAGTGCGCTAACACTTAGTACACAGAGATATCCATATACAACAGTCATACAAGAGGCTTGGTATGATAGCAACCAGCAAGTAATATAATAGACTTCATAAACAAGGAGCTGTCTTATGTACACTATAGGTTTTTTCCCCAATACAGAACATAAATCTTTCAAACGGAGATTTAGAATCTGGGTTCTCTGTGGTGCTAATTCCGCACGAAATTAGGCCATCATTGGTTAAGGTTAAAAGCTGCAGTGAACATCCAGGAGAATCTGAAGTGCAAGATACAAATGCAGAATATGCAAATGAGCAAACTTGCTGGTCCATAAAATTCACTAATTGTTACAGTGTTTTGCTTTTCTTCTTGTTACACCAGGAGGGTTGTGTTAGGTAGTCGACAGCCAGAGTAAAACATAGTCGGATTCACATGAAATATGAAGTCTATTATATACTCGTTGGGGCGTCCCCACCATGACGCATTGCATCGATGCCACCCCGATGCAATGATAAGTAAGCAATGGTGGTTTGCTAGGATGTCCCCTGGAAGCGACCATTACATTGATATCACCCCGGTGTAATAACAAATAAGCAAGGGTGTTCTAAGAATCTATAATCCTCTAATATGTTAACTAATAGAATTAGGCATAAACTAGAACGGTCTAAGAGGGAAAATGAAAGGAGACTTTTACAAGAAAATAGAATTAGATTAGCTACTTGGAATATAGGTACACTTACTGAAAAGACTCTGGAATTAGTGGATGTCATGCTTAGAAGAAAGATAAATATAATTTGTTTACAAGAAACTAAATGGATAGGTAAAAAATCTAGAGAAATTAAAAAGACCAGATATAAACTTTGATACACAGGAAAAGAGAAGAATAGAAATGGAGTGGGAGTTCTTGTAGATAATATGATAAACGAAAGTGTTGTAGAGGTAAGAATAGTTGGAGATAGAATAATACTAATAACAGTTGTCCTAGGTGTAGAGGTTATTAATATTATTAGTACTTACGCACCACAAATAGGGTTGCCTGAGAGTGCTAAAAGGGAATTTTGGGATAGATTAGATGAATTAGTATAAGGAATCCAATTTGGAGAGAAATTATTTATAAGAGGGGATATTAATGGGCATGTTGATAAGGATAATAACATATACGAGAGGATACATAGATGTTTCGGGTATGGAGATAAGAACAATACGGGTAAATTAATTTTAGAGTTTGCAATATCGTATGATTTAATAGTACCAAATACACTTTTTAGAAAAAGGGATGAACACTTAATAACCTTTAAAAATGGTTTTAATAATAGTCAAATAGACTTTTTTCTTACTAGAATAGCGGATAGGTTAATATACAAAGATTTTAAAGTTATATCAGGAAAGAGTTTTGGAAAGAGTTTAAGTACACAACATAGATTGATGGTCTTAGACATATCTATTAAGAAGAGTAGAAAAACTAATGTGAGCAAGAAACTAAGAACTAAATGGTGAAATTTAAAAAGAGAGAATTTAATACATTTTAAAGATAAGATAAAGAAAGAAGATATATGGAACATAAATAATGAGACTAATAGTATGTGGAATAGCATGTCCTCTTGTATTAGGAAACTCGCTAAAGATATACTAGAAGAATCTAAAGGTTGTAGATTAGATGGTAATGAAAGTTAGTGATGGAATGAGAGTGTGCAAAAGATTATTAGAGAGAAAAAACTTTATGTAAAGAGTGGCAAAAGTGTAGGAACAAAGAAAACTTAGAAAAATATAAACAAGTAAGGAATGAAGCAAAAATAGCGGTTAGCAAGAATAAATATAAGGTTTATGCAAATTTATATAAGAAGTTAGAATCTAAGGAGGGAGAGAAAGATATATATATATATATAAGCTTGCTAAGATTAGAGAAAAGAAGAATAGATATTTGGATAATATTGGGTGTACTAAAAGTGAGGATTAAAGAGTTCTAGTAACCGATGAGAAAATAAAAGAGAGGTGATGAATTACTTTTATCAATTGTTTAATGATAACCAAACACGTGAGCAAAATAGAGATTTTGATCATATAGTGAATGATAGAAACTATAAATATTATCGAAAAGTTCGGATTAGCAAGGTTAAAGATACTCTAAAAAATAAAAAGTGAAAGAACCGTTGGACATGACGATATCCCCATTGAAGTTTGGAAATATCTTGGAGGCATAGGATGGTTAACTAAACTATTTAATAAGATTATCGAGATGAAAAAAATACCAGATGAACGGAAGATTAGTACTTTGATACCGATATATAAGAATAAGTGGGATATACAAAGTTGTTCAAATTATCGAAATATAAAACTCATGAGTCATACTCTGAAATTCTGGGAGAGGGTAATTGAGCAAAGACTAAGAAAATAGACAAATATATCTGAAAATTAATTTGGTTTTATGCCTAAAAGGTTAACTATAGAACATATACATATTTTAAGACGGTTGATGGAGAGATATAGAGAGAAGAGAAAGAATCTACATATGTTCTTTATCGATCTAGAAAAAGCTTATGATAGAGTGCCTAGAGAGGTAATATGGTGGGTGTTAGGAAAAAAATATGTATTTAGTATATATATTGATGTGATTAAAGATATGTATGATAGAGTAATAACTAGAGTAAAAACTAATAAAGGAGAGATTAAACTATTTCCTATTACCATAGGTTTACACCAATGATCAGCTTTAAGTCCTTATCTTTTTGCATTAGTTATGAACTAACTTACTAAGCACATTCAAAATAAAATCCCATAGTGTATGTTATTTACCGATGATATAATATTAGTTGATGAAATGAAAAGATGCATTATTTTTAAAGTAGAAAGATGAAGACAAGCTTTTTAATCTAAATGTTTTAGAATTAGTAGACCAAAAACATAATATATATAGTGCATTTTTAGTAAAGCTAGGAAAAGAAGAGAGCCTATGGTACACATTGATAGCCATGAAATACCTAAAACTAATCATTTTCGCTATTTAGGATCAATCATTAGGCATGATGGTGAGATAGAGAATGATGTTGTGCATCGAATCAAATCGAGATGGTTAAAATTAAAGAGTGTTTCGGGAGTCTTAAAGAGTGTTTCGGGAGTCTTATGTGATCGTAGAATACCAATGAAACTAAAGAAAAATTCTATAGGATGGTTATAAGACAAACTATGCTTTTATGGGTCAAAGTGTTGGGCAATTAAAAAACATGTTCAAAAAATAAGTATAGCAGAAATGAGAATGTTGCGACGGTCTTGTGGGTATACATTAAAAGATAGGATAAGAACGGAGTGCATCCGTAGTAAATTAGAGGTTGCGCCTATTGAGTATAAAATGAGAGAGAATAGATTAAGATGGTTTGGCCATATATAACGGAGATCCCTTAGTGCACCGATTAGGAAAAGCAATAATACTAGACTTAATGAGGCTAGGAAATCTACAAGTAGACCCAGAATGACTTGGTTAGAAGCGATTAAGATGGATATGATTAAGACTAACTTAACGGAGGAGATAACCCATAACAGAATGGAATTGAAAAATGGGATTCACGTAGCCGACCCGAAACATTTGGGATAAAGGCTTGATTGTTGTTGTTGTTGTTACACCAAGAGCCTTTGATTCCCATTCTGTTATTTATAGTATTTAATCTTACCTTTTGTTCTATATACTGATATTAACGACCCGTGCTCTACAGATTTCAAAATTTTCTGAAACAGCATGAGATCCCTATTACAAAGGAGTATACGCTGATCCTCTCTGTTCCGAATTGAGGCATAAGCTTTTTGATTGCTGAAAAAATTTAAGATATTCAGTTTTAGCACCGCATACTTGCTTTAACACTAATTTCAATCTTGCTTTTCTTTGGACACAATAATCCTTGGTTGTTGTATTAAGAAAGAACAACTTTTTTTTCTCTAAAATTTGAAGAGAAGGAATGGGAAAAAGAGACACCCAAGTGAAATAAACTCAAATTTTCTCGTCAACCCACCAATTCCACCCAAAAAGGACAACAACATCCAGCAAATTTATCAAAAAATCTTTAACTCACACAGAACTACAAAAGGAGAATTCTCAAGCTTTTCATCATACACTTTCAACACTCAGTTTTCAGCCCTCCGCCAACTACTCAACCGATGAGACTTCTAGAAATATTTACTACTCTTGCAGCTTCTATGGACACTTCAAACTTTAGTCAACAGACATAAAAAAGATACTCAACCGAACAAACTCAAATTTTCTCTCCCCCTGATAATTTCACTTAAAAAAAAAAACAACAACAACAACATTTTGCGGCAATTACGTACCTTGTGACCGTGCTTGAGCGCATCAGCGATCCCCATAGCCTCAACATCTAATGAATCGACCCTCTTGGGTCTCTTCCCAAATCTCCGGCGAAGCGTCGGGATCCTCTCCATGATGCTCTCTCCCTCCTCCGGCGACAAAGCCCCGAGTCGACCTCGCTGCCGTCGACCCATCGAGACTCCGTCCTGTGTAGCGACCGGCCGCTGAATTCCTCAATCCCATCTCCCCCTTCCTCCATTATTTATTTTTTTCCCTTCTGGGGATCTCAAAAAATCTCAATGATGAGGGCTTCGAAGAGGTAACAAGTTTTTTTTTTTCCAATCTCTGTTCGAGAGTGGGGCCAAGAAGTATTGGTTTTTAAAACTTTTTGGGTTCTACTGCGATTTTTCACGTCGTCCGTGTGCGAGAATCGGGTCTTTTTCTTGATTTTGGTGGGATTTACGG